TCTTCTTCTTCTTTTTTCTTCCTAAAGCCTGAAAACTAATCACGGAACATGTTAATCCTTTTCTAGCAACTTTTTATCTCTGACTGTATTTCTCATATAATAGGTGGAAGTCATATGCCTATCACAACTTTAGGTATCTGGATAAACAGTATTGGGAGGGAGGAGAATAAGAGGAAAGTTAGTACATATCAGCACTGAAAAGGTTAAAAGGCCTTACAAAGATTTCCCAAAGGGAAAAATAACAACTATACCCAATAAAATGGGCAATTAGAACATATAGATATACGGTTCGGTATAGCTTCATTGAGACATCTCTCTCTCTATCCTCTGTGTACACCTTTTCCATACATACATTTTAATTTGGTAATCTGATGCATTTCACTATACTGCCATTTTAGCTTAAGTATCTCTTGAGAACCTTGTCTAATTAATATTTTTATTATTGCATAAAACATATTTTAATTGCATAAACATTGTGATAAATCACATACAACTCATAATGATGATAAGATTGTATACAGTTGATTATTATCTTGCACTTTTACAATATCAGAAAAATAGGATTTTATCATTAGTGTACCTTCTCAAGTGGCCACAGTCCACACAGAATCAGTCATGCTTACATCCAATAGAATAAATGGCCTTAAGTGTACTTACCTTTATTGAATTATAGGCAATCCTGTTGCAGGTCTGTCAGCATTCATTGGGATTTATACAGAACAATAACTGAGAGGTCAGTATATCTACACAATTGAATAGCTACCTTGCTTCTGAAATGTTCATAGCTGATATATCCAAGTATATATGCTTGGAAGTTTATTATGTTATTCAATCTCGTGTGTACATATAGGAGAGATTGAAGTCACTTTAAAAGTTACTCATTATGTTACTTGGAACAAGAAACTGAAAAGTTACCTTTTGATTGCTGAATATTTTTTTGTAAAAACTCTTACATTATTCAATCATTGCTTTTTGCATTTTTCATAATTTTTCCCATTCTGAAAACAGAAATCCATCTATAGTTGTTTTTAAAGCCTAAAATTTGAAAAATTGTTTTAAAAGCACCAAAGCATTTGCCCTCATAACAAGAATAAGTATTGTACAAACAATACTCATTACACAACAAAGTAAACATTACCAACTATTTCAATATTTGCAAAATGAATAGCACTCTTGTCACAAAAAGGAGTACATTACTCCAGAGCTCTGAGAATTACAAGTAAAATAATTAAATCTCATATATGGAACCTATATAGATGACAGCAGCCAATATGCACTCATACTTTTGATCAAGACCCAGATTATGAAAATGTGGCTCAGGGTATCACTTTATAGGAACTTTCAGGAACTATGTTATAAATTTCTACAAGGAAAACTGCTGATTGAATTTATAAGACAATGGAGTCAGCAGGAGCCTATTTTAAGTATCTGTTCATTCAACCCAAGATGAGTTGACAGGTACATAATGTGGTTGTAAATGTCAAGGACTTACTGTTTCACATGGTGAGAGAGCCTCCAGTTGTATATACCCATATATTGGAAATAAACTGCAAAAGTTGTCCGGCACCTGCTTCTTTACTGTTTCCTTGTACTGTTTTCTGTGCAAATCAAACATGTACTGATTTTGCACAGAAAAAGCCCCAGTTTCCAAATGGGTTTCAAGAACTGGACATTCTTGTAGACTCAAGTCTACAAAAGGTTGTGCTAACAGTTTCCTTCTCCAAAACAGACTGCAGAAATAATCCAGATTGAAACTGCTTTAACTGCCCTGTCTCAGTGCTAGGGAATCCTGGAAATTGTAGTTTGTTGTGGCATCAGAGCTCTCTGACAGAGAAGGTTAAATGTCCTAGCATTTAGGACATTAACTGCCAGGGCAGTTAAAGTGGTCTCAAACTAGATTATTTCTGCACTGTGTTTTGGACCTCAGTTAGGTCTAATCTGCACTGCAAAAATAATGCAGCTTGATGCTGCTTTAACTGCCATGATTCCATGCTATGGAATCCTGGGATTTGTATGTTTGTGAGATATTTAGCCTTCTCTGTCAGAGAGCTCTGATGCCACAACAAACTACAGTTTCCAGGATTCCATAGCTTGGAGCCATGACAGTTAAAACAGTGTCAAACTGGATTATTTCTGCAGTGTGGATGAGGCTTAGTGCTGGGGTTTGCAAGACTTACTATTTCCTTTTCCCTGGATGCCTAAATTGTATTTCTAAATGTTGAACTGAAGCATTAGAAATGTGGGAAAAGAAGGAAAATTTCATTGGAAGCCAGAATTCTTTTTTGAGGGGAAGCAATGCCCTCATTTGCTCCCTCCTTACTATACCCCTTATTATTACTCTGCAATGTGCTGGGTCTTAGTAGCATGTAGAGAATAAGCTTTTACTAGAGGTGTTGACATGTATAGAGAAGGGCTCTTTTTAATGTTGTTTAAACATCTACACTCATATCTCCTTAGTCATGAAAACTTATTATATTATAAAAGGGTTATTTCTTTTTGGAACAACATTGTTCCAGTGTATTACGTACTCTTATATTGTTCCCATGTTAGTAAGAACTTACACCCAGAGAACAATGATGATACAATTAAGTGTTTATAGGCCTACTACAATAACAGATAGAGTACATCAAGTGCAAGCTAGAAGCTGATGGACCCAAGATGCTACCTCATACTAATTCAGACCATAAATTTTGATTATTTAGACCATAAATTGATTATTCTCTCTTGTCGTCCAAACCTGAGATCTGTCTGTCTGTCTTGGGGTTGAACCTAACAGATGGGCAAATAAGGAGTCTCTTCAACCTCAAAAAAAGAAAAGGGGATCAGATGAAGTATGATTTTAAAAGGAGGGGGACCCAAATGGAGAAAAGAAAAGGCACAAGAGAAGGTAGGAATTTAATCTGAGTGAATTAATGTATTTTGTCTAGCTAGCAGTAAATTCCCATAAAAATGAGTGATAAAATACAGTATAGCAAGCCAACTAGGCATTCAAATTCTGAATATAATGAACACTTTACACAACAGAAGATGCTTCAGACTATTGTCTTCCCAGTGAAAAAGAACAGATATGAACTCCACACCACCATCCACATGATGTATAGTAAGGAGCCTAGTCTCCAGGCCTATGAAGATACAAAGGCTATTTCATTCTATACTGGTCTTGGCAAAGAAGCCTTGCTTCTTCATTGGCATTCTAGACTCCCTGAATTTGCTCTAGGTGTAACACAGGCATCTTGATGTCTGACAGGAGGTTCTAAACATATTTTTATAATAATAATAATAATAATAATAATAATAATTATTATTATTATTATTATTTATTTCTATCCCACCCCTCTGCAGCGCAATCGAGGTGGCTTACAGTTTAAAATTCCATAATTACATATGTGTATCAATACCGTAACCCACCCACCCCTTAAAATAGTATTAAACCAAAGAGGATTAAAATATGCAGGTTAACATACAATAACATATCTCAACAGTCGCAGCAGCAAAATTCCATTCAGTACAGTTCGGTGGTGGGATCAAGGGGGAGAAGAATAGCTGAAGTCGTGGGGCCAGGATAACTATTCGGGAAAGGCCTGCCAGAAAAGATTCATCTTGACTGCCTTTTTGAAGCTGTCAAGGGTGGTAATGAGACAGATCTCGTCCGGCAGGCCGTTCCATAATCTGGGAGCAGCAGAAGAAAAGGCCCTCTGGGAGGTTACCGACAACCTGGTTTTCATGGGTTGTAACAGATTCCTCCCAGAGGACTGAAGTGCACACGAGGGATCATATGGGAAGAGGCGGTCCCGGATATAAGTTGGACCCAAGCCATGTAGGGCTTTAAAGGTCATAACCAACACCTTGTACTGTGCCCGAAAACTAATAGGCAGCCAGTGGAGAACTTTTAGCACAGGTGTTATATGCTTTCTTCTGGAACCTCCAGAGACCAACCTGGCTGCCATATTCTGAACCAATTGAAGTTTCCGAGTCAAGTACAAGGGTAGCCCCATGTAGAGCACATTGCAGAAATCAAGACAGGAGGTTACCAGAGCATGTACCTCAGTTTCAAGATCCCTACTTTCCAGGAAAGGGCACAGCTGGCATATCAGCTTGCTCTGTGGTTGCTTTGGACGGTACAGGATCTGCCTTCCCCTTCCTAGAACGGTTGGGTAGCTTCTACTTGCCTCCATTTTTTCTGCCTGGCATCATCCTGTAGCCCCACCATATCATTATCAGGATTCAGCTTCAGTTTATTAGCCCTCATCTAATCCATTACAGGATGGATGCATTGGTCCAGCCTCAGCCACCTCTGTCAACAAAGAGTCACCCCTCCATTTTTGCAGAGTACAGTCACCCCTCCATTTTTGCAGAGTTCGAGTCCGTGTCCCTTGCCCATTCATGGGTGACAAACGGAGGGGGACAAAATGGTGGCACACCTCTGTGTGCCCCCACATGCGCACCATAGGCTATCACACCATTAATTTCAATGGGAGTAGAATATTTACGAGCTGCCATTTTTATGCAGGGGGGTCCAGAACGGATCCCCTGTGAATTGGGAGCGGCTACTGTAATCCATCTCCGTTAGATGTTATATGATAAGCAAGAGTCAAGCTTACATGATTCAAAAGTCTTGTCTTCATCATTAGTCTGAAACTGCTGAAACTGATCATATTCAGCTGACCAGCTGATAACTGTGGTGTTAGGTTTAAAGCAAATATGAGCAACATTATCCTTGATGTCCCTGGGAAATTTTTCACATCAGCCAACTGGAAGTTCCATTCCTAGCTTCTATGAGCCTTATAGACTTCTCCACTCAGAAACACCTTGGAATATTATGTCACGGATGAAATTTATTGTTGTTGTTGCGTGCCTTCAAGTTGTTTCCAACTTGTGGTGACCCTAAGGCCAGCCTATCATGGAGTTTACTTTGCACGAGTTTTCAGAGAAGGTTTGCCATTGCCTTCCGCTGAGGCAGAGAGAGTGTGACTTGCCCAAGGTCACCCATTGGGTTTCATAGCCAAGCTGCAAATTGAACCCAGGTCTCCAGAGTCACAGTCCAATGCTCAAACCACTAAGCCACAATGGCATAATACATACATAATAAGATATTTTTTCCCTGCCCACATCACTGCTGGCAGAATGTCCTTACTAATATTTGATCATACTCACTCCCTAACTTATGCTACCTGTAGCTCTCTCTTTCTCCGTCTCTCTTGACACTTCCTCAGACTCTGCAATAACCATGACATCTTTTGCTTCAAAGCTATTGCAGAAGACAACCAAGGGATCATTCACACATTTTTTTGTTTTTAACTTGATGTGAATAATCTCACTCATGCATTTCGGGCTTGTGGTTTACACTATGGAACCACATCTCTGTGAATTCTGTTGTTTACATGTGTCAGCACTCAAATAAAGATGGAGTCAATGATGGGAATGTATTTGAAGCAGGTTCAAGACATGCAGAGTTTTATCCCGGTTTATCCAGGTCTATTTGCATCGGTTATTCACACACTCGAGAATCCGATTCTTTTAGAAAAACTCAGAAAAAAAAACAGATGTTGATTATCCCAGGTTAAGTGGATTTTTTGCCACCTCAGCCCCAAATATAATCAGATTCATTTGAAATGCATGTGGACAGCAAAGATTCAACCCAGATTCTACCTGGATTACTGTATATACCAGGGGTAGGCAACCTTTCCCCTTTAAGGGCCGAGGGACTTCAGCTCCCAGAAGCCTCAGCCATGTTGGCCAATAGTCCCATGTTGGCCAATAGCTCCTGGGATTCTGGGAGCTGAAGTCCCTCAGCCCTTAAAGGGGAAAGGTTGCCTACCCCTGGTATATACTCATGTATAAGTCTAGAAATGTTTGTCAAAAAACTGACCCCAAAAACATGGTGTGGAGAGAAGGCAGAATAGAACATGCCTTAGCAACAACCAATAAATGTGAGCTGGTGGCAGCCAATCAAATGGTAGACTGGAGGTGTTATATAAGACCGTTGCTGACAGTTGAAGTCAGACTGGGTCTGGATGGGTAACAGTTCAGAAGAAAGGGACTGTGAAGAAGGGAGGGACTTAGCTCTAGGACAGAACTCCAAGTGAGGGAGTTTCTGGGATTTAGGGGGGATGCAGACAGAGAAAAACCCCATCTTCAATCCCAGGAAGGGGAGGGGCGGTCAGACACTAGGCACCCCATCCCTTCCTGAGGACATCATCAGAGCGACGGCCCGTCCGCACAAAGGGCGCTCTGATGACGTCCTTCCAGCTCAGCGTCTGGACACTGCAGCCTCTTGTGCTGCCCCTTTTGCGGCTTGTGGAAGGAGCGCTATTTTAACACTCTTTTCAAAGGCAATGAAAGGGAGGATTGGGGCCGAGGTGTCCGGCAGCCCCGGCCTTGATCCTCTACTTCCGGGGGCGGCTCAAGGCCGCCAGTCTGCATCCCCCTTAGTTAGCCTAGGGCTTGTGTAGAAATAAAGTTGGAAAAACTGCAGTAAATAAGGATGGTGTGAGGGTCCCAAAAGAGAATTTCTGGTGTTTTCTAAAGTTATGGAGTGTAAAACAAAGTATGACAAGAACAAGTGAATGCAACATTGTAACAAATGAAACATTGTTAAACCATCATCCAAATAAAGTTTTATTATTTTATTACAAGCTTGACTGAATCTGGATTGAATTTCCATACTGCTAAGAAATAAAGAAACCAAGTTTGGGGAAATAAACCCATAGATATAAATAAAAGTGGCCTGATACATCACATACTGGGGCAGCAGTTGGATCACAATACCCATTGGGCTGCCACATCAAGAAAAGTAAGTGGTGCTCGTGATACATTTTGAGGCAGCAGTGGGATGTTAAAACCCATGAGGCTGCCACAATAGGAAAATAGTTGGGTGAGTGGGACTCACCATAACACCTGGGTCAACTTATCCATAGGTCAATGTAGGTAACTCTTATATTTAAAAAAGGAACCATCCCCTGTGGAAGGCAAGAGTGTAATCTATCATGGAAGCACTAATCCCCCCTCACCCCCTATTCTCTCATCCATCCAGTCTTTAGTATGAGCAGTTATGCCTTTCAGAATTTTCTAAGTTCTTTGGCATTGTTTTCTTTCCCTTCATCCTTAAGATCCTTTGTTACATGCCCCTAGGTTTTACCATTGATGTGACCCTTTGTGCATGGGTCATACTAAAATCCATAGTTCTGGCTCTCAAAACCTGCCCTCGACTTATACATGAGGTTGACCTATAGACTTATACATGAGATTGACCTATATACAATAATTTCACTATCTGAATAACCACTAAGGATACCATTGTTGGTCATTATGAGTCTGATTCAGACTCCTCTCCATTCGGAATAACTACCCAGTTGTTTCATTGCCTGATTCATTCATTCGCTAAGGTAAATTACCCACTGAACTGGGTATTAGGGAAAAACTATCAATTGTTCTTTCCATCTGACTGAAAACCTCCAATAACTTTGGGCATTTGCAGACTGCCAGGAATAGTGCAAATTGAGTCCACTTTAACTGTCCTGGCTCAGTGCTAGGGAATCATGGGAACTGTATTTTTTTTCTGAGACATTGAGCCTTCTCTGTCAGAGAGCTCTGGTGCCACAATAAACTACAGTTCCCATTACTCCCTAGCATTGAGTCAGGGCAGTTAAAGTGGAATCAATTTGCACTATTTCTGGCAGTCTGCAAAGGCCCTTCATTGCTATACCTATACATTTGAATACACACAACCTGTGTCGTACCTTAGAATACAGTTGCACTGAGGGTGTACAGTCCTGGTAACAGGTTCCCCCAGCTTTGATCAAACTATAAGCTATGATACGCCATGGATTCCCAAAGCTACGTGTTTTCTTCAAGGAAATATATTGATGCATTGTACTCTGTACCTAAAATGGAGGCTGCAGTTTAATCACTAGAAGATTGGCAAAGCTTTCTGTGTTCTGGGTACAGCAAATCATTTTAATTTGTATAAATTACCTGGATGCATAATATCCAATTACATTAAAAGCAACATGTCAGCTGATATAGTGAGGTAATTAGTTTGATGAGGAAATGGTATTAAATAGAGCAAATGTCTGGGGATTCATAGCCTGCCAACCTACAATTTATGGAATGCTGCATAGTTCAGGACGTGGATGGAAAGGATATATTGTGTTTTGCACACATCCCTCCCAGCCACCAGAGCAAGAGGGATGCTAAGTGCAAGAAGGGCTGATATGATCATAGACCTAACAGGAACTCATGGCTTTGTTGTTAAAAACACTGGAGATGAAAACTGCTTATTCCTTCTCTTTGCTTCAATGTAATCATTTTGCAGGATGGCCATTTATCTTTTTGGGTTTCTGTTTCTCTGGCAATGTAATAGGTAGAATCACACCTTAGGATTACAGGTGTGACTTTCTTAATATGTCTGCAGACTTATGGTAAACCATGAATTTCATAGGGGTTTATTGGCAAGGAATACTCAGAGATGGTTTCCCATTGCCTTCTTCTGAAGAGGTTTGTGCATGTGTGCATGCTTTCAAGTTGACTGCCAACCTAAGGTGATTGCATTTATTGCATAGGATTTTCTTAGGCAAGGAATACTCAGGAGGTAGCTTGCTATTGCCTTCTTCTGAAATATAGCCTGCAGCACTGGGTTTTTCTTGGTGGTCTTCCACTGAAGTACTAACCAGGCCTGGTCCTGCTTAGCTTTTGAGATCAGACAGAGTCTACCTGTAAATAACACTGAATGTAATGAAAAATGCAATACAATTTCAAAAAACAAACTGCAAAAGCCTTTCTATAGCATCTTTTCACAAGCATTTTATCTAACATTTTACCAAATCCAGTAATTCATTGTCACTGATAAAACTCCACTCCCCCCCAAAGTGGCACACTGTGTTAATCGTTACCTTTTTAGTTATTTTTTTTGGGGGGGGGATATCTAAACATAGGAGGGAAGAAGCCTACATTTTGAAATATTCTGATACCAGTGTTAATATCTCTTGTACTGTTTTGAGCACGGTAGGTTTTGCGGGTGGAGGTATATTATCTCCCACACTGGTTTAGCAGCTTTGATGTCACAGACGTTGGACTAGGAACTAGTAGCAGAATAGTCTTATTAAATACATTTGAACTGCAGGCATAGGAACAATATTTGTTAAATTTATTAATTTTATCTTATCACAGTTTTTTCAAGCCATCCTATGGTGTGACTTTAGAACTTATAGATGAAAAAAAAATTGGTGATGCATGCTTCTTAACTGTAAAGTTCAATATGTATAATCACAATTAACACTTTACAGCAGAGTTCTGGGCAGAGGCATACAGACAAGATGGAGGTACCTACTATAGGGACCCCCAACCCGGGAATGGAGACATGTCAGCCAGTTCTGTATGGTCACATTTCCCCTGAAGGACTCTGTCTGCAGTCTGGGGGTGCTCCTAGATTTGCTGCTTCACCTGACCGCTCAGGTGGATGCAACAGTCAGGAGCACCTGTCATCAGCTTCATCTGATTTGCCAGTTATGACCCTTCCTGGAACCAGGCAACCTAGAAACAGTGGTACATGCACTAGTAACCTCTCAACTTGACTTCTGCAATGAGCTCTACATGGGGCTACCCTCATGCCAAGTTCAGAAACTTCAATTGGTAGAGAATATGGCAGCCAGACTGGTCGCAGGGACATCTTAAACTGATCACATAACACCTGTTTTAAAATCTCTACATTGGCTGCCAATTAGTTTTCGGGTGTGGTACAAGGTGTTGGTCACAACCTTTAAGCCCTACATGGCTTGGGTCCTGACTACCTGCAGGAGCACCTTCTTCCACACAATCCACCCTGCACACTAAGCTCCTCTGGGAAAAATCTTCTGCAGCCTAAAAAATCTAGATTGGCTGCAGCAACCCAGAGGGCCTTCTTGACTGCCGTCCCTAGGTTATGGAATGACCTGCCGGAGGAGATCTATCATATCGCCACCTTATCAGCCTTTAAAAAGGCACTTAACATGGATCTTTTCCAACAGGCCTTCCCAGAATGGCCCCCCCACCCGTTTATTTGCTTTTTATGCAACTTCTATATTATTGTTTTAT